AGGCAAAGCGGCTCTGCTCTTTCCCGGCTCATGCCATAAAACTCAGCAGCAGAAGAGTGACCCTAAATGCTGCAGGAAAAGAGTCCACATAAAACTGAGCACTTGGTACCTGGCACCGGGAGATTTTTCAGAGAAAGCACTTTTGGAGGAAAAATGAGCAGAGTAGAGAAAAGCAGTTAAACTTTAGTACATATATAAATATTAGTTTTGCATAAATGGGGTCATACCATCGATGCCATTATCATGAACCCTGTACCCCACCCCGTATCAGTATCAGCAGCTCCCCATTCCCACACCCCCACCCCACAACACATATTAAGAATCCAGCATGTGTCCTAGATTTTTCTCCCTACTTAGAGAATCCAGCACAGCCCTTCATATACTTTTGAGTTGGCTTGTCATGGTGTGTTTTACAAAAGTAAGATCTTTTAATACATGCTTTCCTGTACCTTGCTTTTCTCACCGAGCTACCTTTCAGTTATATGGGAAAAAAAGAGCCCTCCCTGTGTCTCACACTGAGCCCAGATCTTCCCCCTGCTTGGTGGACTGGCTGGTGTGCACCTCCCAGACACACACACATACATGCACACTCACACACATACATGCTCTGGGGCTCTGGGGCTGAGCCAAAGTAGGACTGGCTCACCTGGCCAGTTGAGACCACAAGGATGCCCCAGACCTCAAGATAGCTGGAGGTGATTCTGCAGGTGTCAGCCTGGCTGCCTGGGCAAACTGGAGAGAAGAAGAAGAAAGTTCTCCCTCCGGCATCTCTGGCAGCCCATACCACCACCTTCAGTGCCCTTGCCTTCAGTCTTCTGTGTTGCCAACATGCACACATCTTCTTTCCACTCTCAAGTTTGGGGAGCACTTAGGAAATTGAAATGCACACCAATAACCAGAAACCTGACAGGTCTGCAGGTGTGAATGGACTTCTTTACACCAGGTGAAAGACACAATTTTGCAGTGGATGCAGGGAGGAGCACTCATCTGTCTTGGGAAGCATTCAATAGCTGCCCTTACTCTGCTCACTTCCCCTCTCCCATCCCTGGCCCCTGCCCCAGACAGCAGACAGCAGCGATGCTCCCAAAAGGACCCAGATCTGTCCTTTTGCACTACTTGTCCCATGGGGTGGAGTGAGAACTATGTTCCCCAAAATGTGTCATGTGTCAGTGCCTATAGTACCACCAGAAATCACGGGGAAATGTTTCCTTCATCCATTTTTAATTGCTGCAGATTATAATGACATTCTTTACAAAATAAATACTTAACCACCTTCCCTTAGATTTTTCAGGCCCGAGAAGGACGGAGATGTAAAGCTTCGGTTAATAGCTTAGTTTATTCTGGTGTCATTTCTTTTATTTCCTTTCAGCTTGTTATTTATGGTTTAAATTTTTTGCACCCTGGTGCTTGGCCTGCTTTCCTCGGGAGGATAATTAAGAAAAAGAATTTAGATGTTCAGGCATTTTTCTTTTTTTTAACCATTGGTCTGGAGGCAATAAAAGAGTTTAGCAGGAAAAAAAGGGAAATGTGAGAGAAAGGGGCAAACAGCACTGCTGCAGTCACCACCAAAACCCCAAAATAAAACCGATGACTTCCCTATAGGGTAGTAAGGTGTTATTCTTGGCATTTGGGATGGCACAACCTATCATTCTAACCCTCAGCAGATTCTGTCAGGCAAATGGCTAAATGACAGGACTCGTGTGTGTGTGTGTGTGTGTGTGTGTGTGTGCAAATTACCATGGAGCTCATCTGTGACCAAACGGTCCTGTAATTGAAATGGGAGCGAGATTCTCCAAAGTGCATGTGCCCTACAGCTGACCTGATCCCGTTACACGTCTGTGGGCCTGTGAGACCAAAAGAATCAAGAACGGAAGCCAAAATCAAAATGGAAAGTATGCTTCTCCCACCACATAAAGAAGCTGGTGTTTAATTAGACAGGGGCCATGAATCTCAGCCTTCAGAATAAAACACAGGGGCAAAAACAATAAAACTTTCTCCATGAGCGACTCCTCCTCCCCTGGAAGACAGTGATAATGAAACCGACAAATATACCTTGGAGGCCGGCTTCAAGAATCCGATCGATTTATTTAATAATTTAGGAATCACTTCCAGCCATCTCTCCCATTAAAATCTGAGGGGCCATTGTATTCTCTGTTTCCTCGGTTCCTTGCCCTTCCCTTAGCTATGCCTCACTGGCTTTAATAAATAAGTAATACAGGGGGCTGGGGGGGGGGGAACACTTATCTGGAGTGCCTCGCCTTGGCCTTCACCCTGCAGGGCTCTCTGATTCTGGGTATAAATGGAGTCGAGAACAATCTCTCCCGTCAAGGCTGGGCCAGCAGGGTTGGACCTCTCGGGGTGGCCGCGGCAGCCCGGGAGCCCAGGGCGCTGCTGGAGCCCAAAAACGTGCAGAATAAATAACACGTTAAGACAAGCTCCGAGGCCGAGGGCCGGGCTCACTCCGAGGCACAGCGTGTGCGCGCAGGCGACTCTCCAGCTAGTAAATGGCAAGAAACCACAGCGGCGAGTAGGGGAATTCCAAGAGCATCAAAGTAAACTGTGATCATTTGTAGTTTATTGCTCAAAAGCGAGAGCTGCTGAACCCAGCCTCGGTTAGTTTCCTCGTGATGCTTTGAAGACAACAAGGAAGAGATTGTTCCCCTATAGCAGGGCGCACAAAGCAACTGGCCTGAGCGCAGCAACCATCCCTCTTACGCTCCCCGCCGGGCAAGCATGGGTCCCCCATCCTCCACCCCTAGCCCTCCAGCCCCAGGCTCCAGGCCCCGGGCCCCTGGCCCCGGGCTTCAGTGACCCAGGGGCGCCCCGGGACGCGCGGAACCAGGGGGTCCTGGGAGGGGGTCCGTGCGGAACCAGTGCGCCCTGGGGAGAGGGGCGCAGGGAACCAGGGGGTCCTGGGAGGGGCGCAGGAGCCAGTGGGTCCTGGGAGGGGCGCGGGGAACCAGTGGGCCCTGGAGGGCGCGGAGCCAGTGGGTCCTGCAGGGGCACGGGGAACCAGGGGGTCCTGGGAGGGGCGCGGGGAACCAGGGGGTCCTCGGAGGGGCGTGGGGAACCAGTGGGCCCTGGGAGGGGTGCAGGAGCCAGTGGGTCCTGGGAAGGGCGCGGGAACCAGGGGGTCCTGGGAGGAGCGTGGAGAACCAGGGGGTCCTGGGAGGGGCGCAGGAACCAGGGGGTCCTGGGAGGAGCGTGGAGAACCAGGGGGTCCTCGGAGGGGCGCGGGGAACCAGTGGGTCCTGGGAGGGGCGCGGGAACCAGGGGGTCCTGGGAGGGGCGCGGGGAACCAGGGGGTCCTCGGAGGGGCGCGGAGAACCAGGAGGTCCTCGGAGGGGCGCGGGGAACCAGGGGGTCCTCGGAGGGGCGCGGGGAACCAGGAGGTCCTCGGAGGGGCGCGGGGAACCAGGGGGTCCTGGGAGGGGCGCGGGGAACCAGGGGGTCCTGGGAGGGGCGCGGGGAACCAGGAGGTCCTCGGAGGGGCGCGGGGAACCAGGAGGTCCTCGGAGGGGCGCAGGGAGCCAGGAGGTCCTCGGAGGGGCGCAGGGAACCAGGGGGTCCTGGGAGGGGCGCGGGGAACCAGTGGGCCCTGGGAGGGGCGCAGGAGCCAGTGGGTCCTGGGAGGGGTGCAGGGAACCAGTGGATCCTCGGAGGGGTGCGGGGAACCAGGGGCCCTGGGAGGGGCGCAGGAGCCAGTGGGTCTTGGGAGAGGTGCGGGAACCAGGGGGTCCTGGGAGGGGCGCGGGGAACCAGGAGGTCCTCAGAGGGGCGCGGGGAACCAGGAGGTCCTCGGAGGGGCGCAGGGAACCAGGAGGTCCTCGGAGGGGCGCAGGGAACCAGGGGGTCCTGGGAGGGGCGCGGGGAACCAGTGGGCCCTGGGAGGGGCGCAGGAGCCAGTGGGTCCTGGGAGGGGTGCAGGGAACCAGTGGATCCTCGGAGGGGCGCGGGGAACCAGTGGGTCCTCGGAGGGTCGCGGGGAACCAGTGGGTCTTGGGAGAGGTGCGGGAACCAGGGGGTCCTGGGAGGGGCGCAGGGAACCAATGGGTCCTCGGAGAGGCGCGGGAGCCAGTGGGCCCTCGGATGGCGAAGACCCCGATACCTGCAGGGCCACCAGAATGGTGACTCAGGAGCGACAGCTGGCCGCTGGCATGGCTGGCTCCATCTACGACCAACATGGCTAGTCTCCAGGCCAAAACCCAAGCCATTGGCACAGCCAGCATCCACTTCCCAGCGTCTGCCGAGCGCCCCTCTTCCTAGGCCAGCCACTTCTACCGTTTACAGGTCTCTCTCCAACCCTTTGCAGGCGTACTCCCGATTGGAAAGCCTGCCCCTCTACCCTCCTCCCTGTCTCCAGCTAGACTCACTCATTTTTGCCCTGGAAGACTTGGCTTAGTTAGGCAGGAAGCACCAGGACCCAGAACTTCCCAGGCCACTGCCCCACAGCACTGAGAACATGCATGTCTTGCCACTGATCATCTGATAACGTAATTATTTACATTCCGTCGGGGCTGTATCCCCATTCTGAGCATATGCGAGCACACACGGGTGGTGCTGAGGCAACCTGCGCTCCCTACGTGTTGAGGAAAGCTGAGCTGGCTCTCGGCCAGGAGTCCTTGCCAGTCTGTGTAACTTGCACTTTCCAGATTTTTCCGCTGGGGGAAAGAGGAGGGAAGAGGGGACTGAAGTGCTTTGTCTCCCCTGGAAACCAGCATCCGAGTCTTCACCCAGCAGCCGATGCAAAGGCAATTTATCCCTGCCAGGAAAGCACGGGCAGCAAGCCACAGAGCCGCTTCTCTCCATCCACAAATTAATGATCATTCCCGGTGTTAATTCCATAAATAATTCATGAAGTCAAATATAAGGTATCTCTAAGCCCCCACCAGCCATACTGTGTGGCCTCACTCACAGGAGACATTTAAACACAAACCTGGAAGCTTCTTTGGTTTGCAGGAAGTTCTGATAAGGCTAAATGCACATTAAATTTAGCCAAATGCCCTTTATTCCATAAATATTCATTGAGCACCCTGTCTGTGCCAGGCGTGGTGTGGGCTGAGGCTGGATAAAGGGCACACGGTCTCTCCAGTAAAGGACAGAGTCTCTCCCTTATGGTTGACCAGGAGAAACTCAGAAACATCACAGAGTGTTAGCGCTGAACAGACAACACAGGGAGGCCGAAGAGCATAGAGGTTGAGTCTCTGTCCTCTGGAGTCCGGCAGACCTGGCTTCTAACCCCAATTCCTGGCCATGTGACCTGGAGCCAGTTCATCTCTCCCTAAGCCTCAGTCTCCTCATCTGTTGGGTGGGTATGATGGCAACGATAGTCTCCACCTCACAGGGTTGGCCTACAGAAAGAAAGCAATGTGAAGCATTAAAATGATTAATATTATGATATAAAACACACTCTGGGGGACAAGGGGAATCAGAGAAGGCTTTTTGGAGAAGCTGAGTCCCAAAGGATGCATGGGAGAGGGTACGGGAGATTTGGAGAAAGACGAGCTACACAATTTTCCAGAGCCCAGGGCAAAAGAGAGGCAGGTCCCCTTCTTCAAGAAGTATTGAGACTTTCAAGACAGTGACAACAGAGCGTTAAAGCAAGCATAGGGTCGCTATAAGCAGAGATTGTCGTGCCACTACACAGCCAGTGAAGCCAGCCCGAGGAGAAGGTATGCTCCCCACAATCAAGCACGTGTCACGTACTAGGACTACAGGGGTGGCGGCTCTGGCTCACTACAGCCTGAGTTTTAAGCCCCAGTATGAGTGCAAGATGCTTCTGACTGAACTACATCCGCTCTGGCTATTGCATCGAGGTTTGTGCATGTGTGTGAATGACATCACTGCACCCCTCACTCCTCTGATGCTGCCTACAAGTGAGAGAAGGCACAGGGCCACTTTTCCAGGTCCCTCACAGGCCTGGGATTCCTGAAAGAAATCACTGGGAATCCTGGGGTTTGAGATCCAGGCATCCTGGGTGCCAGCCCCAGGCCTCGCTCAGGGCAAGTCACCTCACATCGCTGGTCACCAGCTCCTCATCTGTGTAGTTCAGCAAGTAGACTCATTAATCTCTAGGATTCCTTTGGATAGAATATTGGACCTTTCTGTGCAATAGCAGCAGGAGGAAGAAAATAAAAGTCTGCAAAGCCAGAGTAAAGTAATAATAATTTTAAAACAAGCTATATACCTGCTGACTTTGTAATATACCATTTCTGGTCTGGAAAAAAACTGTATTATGCAAAATAAAATGCTGTTGAAAATTCCCATAATGTCCCCATATGCATTTCATTTAGCCGGTGTGGTGTATATCATGCCATTAAGCCTCTGTGTAATAGGGGTTCTAGAGCCCAATCCCCGGTAACAATCCATTTGGACCGCTCGGAGTGGGGGGCACATGTTTCCTGTACAACACTGACTGGTTTTATTGCTTAGAACATTTGCACAAAGTCAAACAATTACCCCCGAGAGATGGATCATTTGCTCCTGCTTTTCCTCACCTGAAGTTGCCATCTTTTAAACTCCCTTCTTGGGATCATCTCCCTGACTCACAGCTGAAACCATCCATGGAGCCACATGCCCCAGGAACTTAGGCAGACCCCAAAATGCAGCCAGGACCAGAGTCTTCTCCTCTGGAAACTCTTCTAAGCAATCGGACATCTTAACATTGGTTCTCAAACTGGAACGTACGTGGCAATTTCCTGGATAGCCTGTTAAACGTGATTGCTGGACACAGCTTCCAGAGCTTCTGATTCAGTAGAGCTAACAAATTCTCAGTGATGCTAATGCTGCTGGTCCCAGAACCACACTTGGAGAACCACTCTATTTGAGAGGAAACAGTAGCAAGTTCCTAGTCCACTCGTAAGATGGACAATTTCTAAGATATGATCAGATGAAAGCTCCCCTCTGTGTAATGAATGAAGGGCAAGGCAGTCAGAAATTCTCTGAGGCTGGGCTTACCCTCAAGGGGGCATCAGTGTCTCCCAACTAGGTTTCAACCTCCAAAGAGACAGATAGGTATTCTCCTGGGGGCCATTCATTTCCGGGTATTGGGCTGGTGGGTGGGGGTCCCACGGGGGAGAAAGTGTTCACAGAAGGTGTTCAGTCTGCGCTGGGAAGAGGCCCCACTCTCAGCCTCAAGTAGAGACACTTTCCCAAGGTTCTACCCTGCCCTAAATCCTGAGCAAGCAGCATTGGGATCACCTGATGACTAGTTAGAAATGCACAATCTCAGGCCCCAACCCAGATCTCCTGAGCCGGATCTGTATGTTCAACGGGATTCCCAGCAATGTGTCTGCACATTACAGTTTGAGAACCACTTCCCTAGAGAACATGGCAGTGGGGAGAAATGCCTCTGACAAAAGGGGCCAGGTTTTCCAAGAGTGCAGTTCCTTCCATGTGAACTTGAGCCTGGCCAGAGTCTAGCTTGGAGAGAAGGAGGTAGAAGGGAGAGGACATGCACACAGAGTAGCACCTGTCTCTATCTCCTGGTCCAGACCTAGGGAGACCTGTGATGTGTGACATGCCCAGGCCTGACAAGGAGTTGCACACTCAAATGCCAGGAGCGTAACATGTGATCAATGCATGAATCAGGTGATGATGCCTTTGACTTACCAGCTAGAGGCTTGCAGCTTTGGAACTTGGAAAACACTATGCTAGCCAAACAGAAGTGTTAGCCGGCTGGGCTCCATCTGCAGGCTACCAGTTTCTGATCCCTGCCCCACAGTTTTGGCTAAAATACACTGGCAACCTACTATACACCAGGCATGTTATCATTATTTCCATTCTACACTTGAGAAAACTCAGGCAAAGGCAAAGGAAGTAATTTGCCCTCCTCCAATTATGCAGCTAATGAGCGGAGCTGGGATTTGCATGAGGCAGTGTGGTCAGAGGGCTGGACAAGAAGGCCTCCTGTAGAGAAGGCCACACCTGTGGGTAGAGTGGCATCTATCCTGAAGGTAGGCAGAAGCAGATTCTTTTAGAAGAAACCAGCACCTGTCAGGTGGTCTTAGGACAAACCTATCATTTATTATCCAAAATGGGATGTTTGGGAGAATAAAAAAAATGCTAATTCTTATTAACTATGCTGCGCAATAGATGTAAAGGCAGAGAGTCCAATGGAGGGCTGAGGGACTGAGGGACTCAGTCCCCCTCTGATTGGACTGAGGCTTAAACAAAGTCTCTGCCACTCTAACCAGGGAGACAATAGGAGCCGAAAGTGAGGATGGGTAAGCCATGCCTTGGAACCAGACCATCCAGTTGGTGGTGCTGGGATTTTTCTCCATTTCTGCCTGTTTGTTTTAAGATTTTGTTTATCTATCTATTTATTTATTTATTTGAGAGAGAGAGAGAGAGCACAAGCCAGGGGAGGGATAGAGGGAGAGAGAGAATTTTAAGTAGACTCCACGCTGGGTGTGGAGCCCGACGTGGGGCTCAGTTTCACGACCCTGAGATCATGACCTGAGCCACAAAACCAAGAGTCGGGCGCTTAATCAACTGAACTACCCAGGCACCCCTGCCTGTTTTTCTTTTATTACCCACAAAATCCAGTAAGGGCTTGTGAAATGCATCCCTCCTCCTGAGCCCCCTCCCCCCCCCAGTTAGATAAACTAAGCAAGGGGGGGGGAGTCCCCACATGGCGACTCCTCCCACTGTTGTCAGCCTTGGAGGGTCTGGTCTTACAGGGGAAACTACCTAACATTACAATCCGCCCCCCCCCCTAAAATCTCTATAGCAAGGCCCTCATCCCGGAATCTGCCTCTAGACTCAAGCAAATAAATACCTTGATCATTTTCAAAGAGCAACCTGTGTCATTGTGCCCTCACCACAACAGGGAGAGAGGTTGTACTACCCCCATTTCATATCAGAGGCTCAGACAAGAGCAGTGAAAGCGACCAATTCTGAAATGGAAGCAATCAGACCTGATGAAAAGCAGGACTGATTGGGCTGGGTCCGTTAACTGAGAATAATTACCGGCTCCTTTTTTTTTTTTTTTTTTTTTTTTTAAGGAACTCCCACAGTGACCGCTGGGTGGTTCCTCTTGAGTAAATAAAATGAGTGAGGAAGGATTTTTGTTTTGTATGGAACTGGCCTGAGGCAGCAGGTCCACACAAGGGAGCAATGCCTGGGTCGTGCCTAGCCCTGGTTCATCTTTCTTCTTTATGCAGCTGCCAGCAGATGTCCTTCCCACAGCAGCCCCAGCCATCCAGATGGCACGAGAGTCTAATTGCCATTGTTAGCACGGATGGTGCATTCCAAAAGAGGAGAGAAAATCAGCCAGGAGAGAAAATATCTCTTCTCTCTGAGGAGCCACCTACTGCCTTCGTTTAATACAGATGAGCATCCCGCTATGCCACTCTGCCATCTGTGTCTGAGGGAAAGGACTAGAAGCCCCTTCTTGCTTCGGGAACCATATGGAAGCCATTAAGAAGGATGTCCTTGCCACTCATCAGCCCAGTGCTGATGAAAAGACATTAGTCCCCCAAAACTAAAAAGTCTGACAAGACCAAGTATTGGCGAATATGTGGTGCATCAGTATCTCTCATACGTCGCTGAGGAGCCTGCAAATCGGAACACCCCCTTTGGAGAATCTGTACACCGTCTAGTAAAGGTGAAGATATCCACTTCCTGTGACTTTTGCAATTACACTCTGAGGTATGGACCCTGTGGAAATGCACGCCTAGGCATGCCGGGATACACAGACTAGAATGTTCATGGTAGTGTCGTGCATGGTTATCACAAACTTGAAACGACCCAAATGTCCATCAGCAGTAGACTAGATGAATAAGTCACAAATCAGTGCCATCGCTATTGTTATTATACAGCAATGAAAATGAGTAAGCATAATCTTGAGCAAAAAGAAAAAAGAAAAAAAAAGCAAAAGACAGAAGAATGCACACAGTACGATTGCATTTATATAATGTTCCAAATCATCAAAATACCAGAAACATCCAACACTACCCCCTATTGCTTTGGGATGCATTTGTGTGTAGTAAACATTAACATAAAGCAAGGAAAAGTATTACCCCACGTGAGTATAGTGTGTATAATTCTGGGGGAAGGAGGGAATTATGACAGGGTGCGAAGGGTTGGGGGGATTGTATGTTAGGTACTGGCAGCGTCCTATTTCTTGACCCGAGGAAGGTGGTACCGGGTGTTTGCTTCTGTAGATGTATGCCTTGTGCATTTTTCTGTTGATATGTGATACTTCATACCCACACACAAAAGAAAAGATTCAAAAAGAGAAAAGAAAGAAATCTCCCCAGGCCTGATGGCAGCTGCCCCCTACTGGCACCCAAGGAAAGTGCAGGTTGGGATGGTGTGTATCTGGAGGCCCAAGGAGGGGAGAAGGGAT